GAAGAGATAAACAATTTTACTCTAAGTGACCTCAAAATAATTCAGCTATCGTATACTTGAATTTTTCATTAAAGGTTAAGGTTGGAGAATTGATCGATTAAATTATCAAATTATCAGTTACTTGATTTCATAAAGTATGCGCCACTGAAAGGCGAGTTAATAGTGATTAAGTTCCTAACGGATCATCTTACACAGAGTTGCCAAAATAGTTTCAACATGCAACGAAAGAGTTAATGTTAAGAACATACAAGGATAATAAATGTTTTTATTACAATCACCTCCTACATATGCTTAAGGTTGAGATAGTTAAATACCAACATTTTGTCAGCAAATGTAAAGAGTACAGTATTAAGGAAAAATGAAGTATGGTGCGATCAATTTTGCTGTTTTTATCATTTAAGTAGTAAAGTAGTAAAAGAGTAACATTTGCATCAATATATTCGGTTAGGAAAAGAGGTGTTTCTTTCATTACAAATCTCTGAGTCCAGTTGGGAAAATGAAAGGAGCAAGTTATCTATTATAGATGATAATGGTAAAACGCATTATGTTTATATAAAAACTTGATTACAACAATACACATCAAAAGATTAAAACCAACTAAAAACCTTTGCAACCGTTGTAAAATCAAATTGGTAAGTGATGAAAAGAAGGGCTTAAGATGTTAGCTCCAAGACTAACTTTCAATAGTTGCATCATCTACAACGAAGATTAAGTTGGTCTAAAACAATTCAAGGAAGTGCTTACAATTGACAATTGTGCTTGTATATTGGGTTTGAGTGAAACGTTCATGTATAATTTCTACTATGATTATTCCTTGGCTAATTGATTTGAAGCCTGTCTCATCTTTAAATTGAATTTGATGAACTATAAAAATATATGAAGATTTTCAAGAGGATATTGTAACACATGTCACTGACGGTATTATAGAATTTTATCATAGATTTAAACTCTATCAAAACGCACAATAAGTACTTGAGAATAATTGGAAAAAAACTTAATTATCTAATAGAAAGATTTATGAAAGAAAATGACCTGTAATTATTAAGTTTATAATCACTAATTATAAACTTTCGTTTTTATTAGTAGTTTTTAAAGAAAATACCCTCTCTATGCATAAAAACTTTTACCTTTTTGAAATTGCTCTGGAACATATAAGCATTAATGACGGCATAATACGGAAAATATGTTTTGGTATTGTGATTTATTGTAAATTATTTTAGTAAAATGTCTTATCAACTTTTAAAGGATAGGTCATACCAAAACTATCAAAGTCATTGATCACACCTTTTTCTCCTTGAAACAACAAATCCAGTGTGTACCTTGTTTCTCTAAAGCATGATGATTTATGATGCAAGATGAATGTATTTCTGGCATTTTTTTCTTTTCGAATAGACTCCTGTGATTTTAATGGCCAAATTTTTACACTAACCTATCAATGGAATACTTTCAAAAGTGATATCAGGTCTCCGACTGACGGCATTCCTTGGAATAGTGATTTTGCTCCAATCAGGTCTGTTGTCAGCCTTTCCTTCTTGAGTTTTTTCCTTCTTGAGTTTTTTGATGCATTTTGTACAGTTTTTCCCCTTTTTTCTCCTGTAATTCTTGTTAATATAATTTATAAAACCTGTAATTCAGCATTCTCTGCAAGAGGTTTGAATAAACGTTATTATTATTATTATTATTATTAGTTGGTTTTGTTTTCTTGTCTCCATGAAAAAAGAAATGTAAGAGGAGTATGATAAGGTAAAACATGAGTATTTTCAGCGCCAAATCTTGGTGCTGCACCATTAAAATTATCGGTTTGTGGTGGTAAACCAAACCTTGGTGCATCCTTTCCTGTCATTGCTTTCATGATTAAAGACTGAATACCTGTAGATGCTAAACGTGCACCGAGAAATACGACTTAATGTGATTTAGTTGGTTTAATTTTTTACTTGCCACCACTTTGAAAGTGCATCAACAATGTCTCATTTTTGTTTTTCTGTAAGCATATTTTATGTTTTATCAACTGGTCTCTTTTTCTTGAGGGAATGAAAGCCGCCTATCTCTTGCACTTTTCGAATGTTCTATCAATACCTTAATAATAATAGTTCTGATACAATGAATATATGAAGTTCATCACGTACAGGCCTGATTTTTTTTCAGGTCTGATTTTCGCTATTGCATAAATAGCGCTATCTACTGCGAAGGATCGTGCATCATACGTAATAATAATTCTATTAGGGAATTTTTTTAGCGATTTATACTGACTTCCTTAGAAATCTCCTTTCTTCAATTAACTTTGATGATAATTTTAAGGAGAGTGCTTTACATATACTTTTGGTCATGGTATAGTCCCCATTTTTTTTCATTACCTCGTTGTCGAAACAATAAAAAATTCCTTCGATATACTACGGCACAAATCAATGCCGAATGGAGAGAATAAAGAGGCTTACACTGAGTTTAAATTGAGGAGCACTCAGCCTTGAAAGGATTTCTTCTTCATAACTAAAAATTACAAAGGATAAGTTTCTTTTCAGTTATCAACTATTGCTGTGAAAAATTACTCCCCTCAGTCTTCAATAATTAAGATTAAGTCATTTTCTACATTACTTCATATGTCTGCCTGCTTACTCCCTTGAGCATAAATATTAAGGAGCAGTCGCCCTTTGGACAGAAGTCATTATTTTTTCTTGCACATAAAGATAGCTAAAATTAGCTGTAAAGAATAGATATAAACTCTTATTTTTTTTTACTGAAAAACCGCTGGCTAAAGAACATTTCAGTTGGAATTCATTCAAATGGTTCGCAACATGGTGAGCACATTCCCACCCTGAATGATCTTAATTTCTTTATCCCGGACAACCCTGACATTAGATTACATATTCTCCTTACCAGTCTCTATACATTTTCTAAGGCGCTGACAATATTAATTTGTTTTACAATCAAGAGCTCCTTTAGTTAGTGATCGTCTCCTTTATTCTCGTGAGCGTCAATATTATTGAAAAGTCAGACTGTAAGGAGAAATTAGATATTTGATATTATTTGGATTAAAGGTTTAATCATTTGTTGAGAGATCAAAACACGAGGTAAAAGCGTGATCTGTATAGACTTAGATTTTCCATGTCTCAGTGCATTAGATATGCTCAAAATATACATTAGCCTTAGAAGAAAGTTTGTCATGGCCAAATGTGCATCAAAGGTCATTAAAAATCAAAGATACTTTTTCAAGCTGAACGTACATGTTTCTTTAAGGTAGATAAAAGTTTTGCTCATTGAAAATTCGCACCCAGCAAGTTCGCCCCTAATAATACGATGACTTCTTCCTACCTAACCAATGATGCTTTTTCATGAGTTTCCCTATGAGTCGTCAGTAAGCGCGCTGTGTGACCATATTTTCTCTTGACTTTTTGTAATCATACTCACCAAAAGCCCATCCTGTACAAATCCCAGCGTCCCCTGGGACCCTAATTTATGAGCAAAACTAAAACTGATCAACATGCAAAAATTACAAGGTCCTCTGGCCTCGTTTTCACGCTTCTTTTATCGTACGGTCCTTGAGGAACATATTATATATGTTGCAAAGCTGTGCCAGTTCTAAGAAACTATACCAGTGTTTCATCATACAGTAAGCGAACCTTTCAGCTTTGTTCTGTGGCTTCGCAGTCTTCTTTCCAAGAATCAAGTACAGATCTTATTCTAAAAAGAAATTGAGGGTGAGAGGAGAAAGTGATATGTTTTGAATGTAGACAGCACCAAGCATTATTTGTCTGATGCACCACGCAAAGAGACGAAGGCAACTTACTCAATTTATCAGTAAGAACCCTGTCATGGATGGTCATCTTAGATGGCAAGCAGTCGATTTTTATCCTCACAATCGCTAAAGCCCCTCGCTAAAAATATTATATGAAAAGTAAATTAGGTAGACGATAAAGGATACAATTCTAGATTGTGAGAATTAATTCACTCACTTTCAAATTTCCATTCACCCTCTGACTTGATTTTTACCCGAGCTATTTACTCCTCGATTGTTCCTCTCCCCTTTTTCGACCCCTTTCTCACTCAGAAAAAACGAATATGTGATTACGATTGCAGAAGGTTGGATAAAAATTCGGTTGATTCGAATCTACCGAGCTCATGTTGAGAACGGTAATAATGACGCTTGACCTCGCACCATCGCCAATCACGCTGAATACTTTCAAACCTCTAGCAAATGAATACACTAAAACTTCAAGCAAACGAAGACACTAAAACGTCAAGCGCTGCAAATGCCCGAAAGAGCTCGTTTTAATTATACTGAAATTCATAGCAACTTAAAAGACGCTAATATCATCAGTAAGAAGATATAAATGTATGTCCCTGCATCAATTTTATTTCAAATATCTTTCGTTGTTGTCTCGCGACCTCTGATTTCGGCAGATCTGGTTGTTGAACCTGTAGCCAAGTCTATCAATCTACTTTTCTTTCGGTGTTGTGCGATTTGCTTTAAAACGTTTTGAAATTGTTTCAAAATTTTCATTCATTTTATGAACCAGTGTAGAGATTTCAAGGGGATATTTTAAGGGGATCCATACAAATCTGGCAGGGGAAAGCAGTACAAAAATGCACTTCAGAGCCCGAAATTTGTCTAGTAGACTTAAAATCAGCGAGCCCGCAATATGCTATGGATATGATCAGAAGATTCAATTGTCACTTTAACATCTCGATGTAGATGACAGCTATTATAATAACAACAATGCATTAACTCAGTTAAACAATGGCATTGGAGGCTAATTATGTTTAGGACCAAATGTTAGTACATTTAGGACTTTTATTACATTTAGGACCAAATATTATTGTTTTTAAGACTTTAATAAATTGAGGACCAAATGCTATTACATTTAGGACTTTATTACATTTAGGATAGGACTTCAACATACCTGTACGTAAGTGAGTCAACCTGAGGGAGTTATTAAGTACACAGATTAGTGGCACTAACTCATAGTCAGATTGCCTGAAAGGGATTTTTTGCTTATTCTTAGGCACAGTGAAACATGGCGAACACTATCCACACCAATGAAAAAGGAAATCCTGGCGCAAGAATGGGAGAACCTCCGAAAATTGAGGTTGAAGTGCCTGAGAAACAGGATCTCCCCAGTACGGCATCGCCTTGGGAAGAAATCGAAACAGAATTCTTGCCAGTTGATTTTCTGCTTTTAACAGCAAAGGATTGTGAATATCTAAGCTGCCTCGCCTTTCTCCATGACATCAAGAGGGGTTATACAAAAGATCTTGGCCCTGCGTATTTTGGGTTTAATAGCCAAGATGAGCCAAAATTCAAAATTGCGGTGATTATATGCCTCATGGGTTCCAGCGGTCCTGGTGGCTCCATAGTTGTAGTCCAAGAGGCAGTTCCGATCTTAAGGCCCAGAGCAGTTATCTGTGTGGGTTACTGTGGTAGCTTGAACGAGGAGAAAGCTAAGCTTGGTGATGTCATTGTATCTTCCAAGTTGACGACTTACGCCTTCGCCAAAGAATGGGAGGACGGGATCGAAGAACGTGGCTTGGTTGTTCCTCCAAATAAGGATATGGCTAACCTTATCAAGAATGTCGGGGATGGTTGGAAGGCACCTTTAACAAACGCAGACGACCTGAAAGTGACACTACGCACTGACGGCGTTTTTCTCAGTGGTCCTCTGGTGCTTAACAACCCAGAACTTCTGAATAAATTGAATAATCGATTTCGCCAAGGAACTGCCATCGAGATGGAAGGCGAAGGTATTGTTTAAAGCACTCTATAACTTTATTTAGAGTCCCAGAACCCATGAAACTATTGCGGAAAGATTAATCTATTTAAGTTGTATTGCCTTTATTTAACAATTTTCTTTTTCAGCCAAAAGTGCTGTGTAATATCAGCAGTTCTTTATGTTTTGCCTGTTGTGTATTATGTTTTCTTTTTTTATTGATAAGAAGCCAGGCATGCCGTTTCTTTGAGTTTGCATGCTGGAAAAATTGATCATTAATAGACATGACACATAGAACATAGCTAAACGTTATACGCTAACTGAAGCGAAAAAAAATAGTTTCCCTACATCTTTGAAGATTCGTGCACAGCACTGCGCACAGGCATTGCAACGAATCGTCAAATATTGTTAATTCGTTCATCCGATAATTTTCCAAAACCACTGCGTTATATCGTGTTTTACAAGGAAATAAACTCCTCTCTAGGTCTTTACACAGCCGCTCATAGACATGGAATTGAATGGTTAGTTATCAAAGGAGTCTCAGACTTCGCCGGTAGCTGTGGCGGTAAATCTAGCACTGATTCTTGGAGGCCATTCGCCAGTGTAATGGCAGCCTCCGTTGTTTTTCATATGCTAAATGACACTGTTGTGTTTGAGGACTGGCCCCACTATGAAAGTAAGTGACTCTGATATATGATATTTGATGTTATTTTATGTGAATAAACATTATATATACAAAATAATCGAGTGAGGCCTTAGATTAGCGGGGTCGTTTTCGTTCATAATAATCTCAGTTGACATCAGTGTCTTTTATGGTCTTTGTTCTGTCAGGAATAGATGTGTTTTTTCACCGACGAGTTTTCATTGTTGAGATGTTCTTTTACGCGGTCGTGGATGAAGCGACCCCGGTAATCTACGCCTTTATGAAGCATTTTACATTTATTTAGAAAGTACAAGCCTACACTCAACTCCCGGGAAGAGTGTATTGAATTCGCACACCTTCTATTTTAGTATCTCATTTTATTATATGGCTGTGTCTCACAAGGACTGGGAACTACCGAATTCACGAATTTGATTGGTTGAAATCAATATTGAAAGCGGTCTAGATTTTCCCATCTAAACCGGCATCTAGACCGGCCTAAAAAAAAAGGTACAAAGAATATAAAAAATTGGCATATAAGACACAGCCATATAATAAACATCTTATTAACCGAGCTAGGTCGGTCTGTATGGGAGAATCTTGACCTCGGTCAAGATTTTCNAATACCGCAGTTCAAAATATATGAACTTCATATATTTCATTGTATCTGATTTATCACTTTCACGGGTTTATTACGAATCAACTTAACGGCCTGCTCCCAGTTGGCTTGTTAGCTCAATTGGTAGAGCGCTGCACTAGTATCGCAGAGGTCAGTGGTTCGAATCCCGTACAGGCCTGATTTTTTTCAGGTCTGATTTTCGCTATTGCTTAAATAGCGCTATCTACTGCGAGGATCGTGCATTATACGTATCTAATACCGCAGTTCAAAATATATGAACTTCATATATTTCATTGTATCTGATTTATCACTTTCACGGGTTTATTACGAATCAACTTAACGGCCTGCTCCCAGTTGGCTTGTTAGCTCAATTGGTAGAGCGCTGCACTAGTATCGCAGAGGTCAGTGGTTCGAATCCCGTACAGGCCTGATTTTTTTCAGGTCTGATTTTCGCTATTGCTTAAATAGCGCTATCTACTGCGAGGATCGTGCATCATACGTATCTAATACCGCAGTTCAAAATATATGAACTTCATATATTTCATTGTATCTGATTTATCACTTTCACGGGTTTATTACGAATCAACTTAACGGCCTGCTCCCAGTTGGCTTGTTAGCTCAATTGGTAGAGCGCTGCACTAGTATCGCAGAGGTCAGTGGTTCGAATCCCGTACAGGCCTGATTTTTTTCAGGTCTGATTTTCGCTATTGCTTAAATAGCGCTATCTACTGCGAGGATCGTGCATCATACGTATCTAATACCGCAGTTCAAAATATATGAACTTCATATATTTCATTGTATCTGATTTATCACTTTCACGGGTTTATTACGAATCAACTTAACGGCCTGCTCCCAGTTGGCTTGTTAGCTCAATTGGTAGAGCGCTGCACTAGTATCGCAGAGGTCAGTGGTTCGAATCCCGTACAGGCCTGATTTTTTTCAGGTCTGATTTTCGCTATTGCTTAAATAGCGCTATCTACTGCGAGGATCGTGCATTATACGTATCTAATACCGCAGTTCAAAATATATGAACTTCATATATTTCATTGTATCTGATTTATCACTTTCACGGGTTTATTACGAATCAACTTAACGGCCTGCTCCCAGTTGGCTTGTTAGCTCAATTGGTAGAGCGCTGCACTAGTATCGCAGAGGTCAGTGGTTCGAATCCCGTACAGGCCTGATTTTTTTCAGGTCTGATTTTCGCTATTGCTTAAATAGCGCTATCTACTGCGAGGATCGTGCATTATACGTATCTAATACCGCAGTTCAAAATATATGAACTTCATATATTTCATTGTATCTGATGAATGGATGAATAACTATTGTTCAATTATCACGTTGCGGCTACATACTGCTAGTCTTCTGTGATAAAACGACGGATTACCCACGATCTAAAACACGTGATTCTTCAACGCGATTGGTTTCTCATTTTTCATTCATTGCATTGAGCATCTTTAGTCTTTATTTGCATTGTTGTTCATTTTTGTTTTGTGAGGAATCACCAAGGTATCAATAATTATACTTTGTACTTCCCATTTATGTTCACCGCTCCCGCTGTTCCCTCAACTTCTCTCCTCTTCTGCCTTTCCCTCTCCAACCGTGATAACTGTACGAAAGAGAAGGATGGATGACAGAAATCGTGTCCAACAAATCAGAGAGGAAAACAATGAGCGTTTCATTAATTTGTTATTTGATTCATCCAATAGCTTTTCAATCCTTAAAAAAAGGAGTTTGATAAGAATTAAAATTCTTATCACAGGTAAACTTTGGGCACCTTTGTGTCATTTGAAACTCTTGATGCAGATGATCGCATGTGTACACAGAGAGCGAGATAAAATATTTTGCACGGAGTCTAATCAAGTTTTGGTTAGGAAATGAGAGATAAGTTGCTGTAACAGCATAATGGGGGGGGGGGGTAAGTTTCTAAAGAAACTGTGGTGCTGCGTCGGTGGGGGTAATAAGGTAATTAGGTTTTATGAAATTGAAAATTGGCCACCGTAAAGAGTTTAAAAGCTGACGTTTCGAGGGTTAGCCCTTCGTCAGAGCTCTGACGAAGAGCTAACGCTCGAAACATCTGTTATTTCAGACTGATTGTTAGAGAATTATTATATCCTTATTCTGTTTCCAGATACATCAAATCGAAAGAGACCGTCGTCGAATACTAATCATGCAACAGCAAAGGTGACCAGAGGTAATTACGTTTTGCAAAATTTCCGAAGTCTAAATTTGCCTCCAGATACTTTCGAATAGTCCCTGAGAAAAACTTGAGGGGATTGATACTTCCGAAATTTTAACTATGGGAAAGGTGAAGAATTGCACTCTTATTTGAAATTAGTAACAATACTAGGTCTTGGTCCGTATCTCAGATAAACCATGGCTCTCTTTAGTGCCATGTATAATGTCCCTTCTCTTGTGTCAGTTATACTTTCAGCTTCAAAACCATTACTGGATCTATATAATCAACACCACTTTTCGGAAGAGACTAAGATTTTTGACATCTAGCACTTAGGAGGGGTGCGGTTGAGCTCTACAAAAATGGTTGAAGACTTAAAGATACACAATTCCTTATTTATAGAAGAGCTATAAAGAAAGCATTAGGACGATGACGACTTTCGTATCATTTTACACGCCGTAAACATGAGTATGTCGAGAACAAAAGATTACGTATATTTTCATGCAACTGCGGCTAAATCTAATACTCCTGCATATTACCACTTTAGTAATGTGACAAATGGGAATATTTAGGACCTCGCCTGGGATGCAAGCCAAGTTGCTGTATGAGTTTGCGCTCGAGGACGTTACTACCGAAAATTGTGACTAAATATTATAATCTTCATTCAAATAAGCCTGAAAAATGCCATCCCTTCTTCCCAGTCACCAGATAAATCCCATAATGATTCCAGGACATGAGACAGGTATCGAGAGGTAAGAAGTGAGTGGAAAGAACATTTTCAATGTTCTTTGTAATGACACTTAGTTTCACTTGTATCCCTCACTTAAGTATCGTATAGTTAAAGGTTCTCTATAGTTTTGAGCAACAACAACTAAGCTCCCTAATTTCTTGATTTAATGTTATTTGTTTGTTTTTTCTTTTACGAAATAATAGAAGTTCTGTCCACTTCTGATTTCAGTCGCTAGCGATGGCACCGGAATCTATCAGGACCAGGAAGTTTTGGCCTCCAGTTTCGGTTGTTATTTTTTCTCCGAAACACTGGTTTCGTTCGCTGTAAAACAGGTTCAGGCAGGCTCAGGCAGGCTCAGCGAAGCATCGAGATTTTTCAGCAATAGATAGAATTGGATGTTATTGTTCCAGTGAGTTCTAAGGAAGTTGTAGACTTTTCTTGAGAAAGACTAGCATAGCAATACTTTGCGGATTAAATAAAAATGCAGTTGAATTGCCTATTAATTGGTCTAGTTATTTTTTTTCTTCCTGAATCCGCGGACCCAGCGAAACTCCCGCGATTTCAATTACAAAACGAAAAAAAATCTGAGTTCATACCTTACCAGGGAAATAAGTTGTTTCTCGTACATTTAGGTTTACAATTACATGTGTCGCTACTGTATCCGCAATAATAAAGACGAAAATGGACGCGTTTTGTCTTTTTTTTTTTTTTATAAGAAATGTTTTAATAAGAGTCTTCTTGCGTTCTCAAGTCAAATGTTCCTCAAGGGTTTGATATAAACTGGTATATTCATAGAGAGGGAATGAGACAAACACAGCGTGATGTCCATGCCCCTTGTTCCTTGTATAACATAAGGTTAAGTGATAGAGTAAGATACAATAGGCAGTTCTGTCTACTTTTATAGGCGATACTGCAGGCAAAAGTTTCTAAAGGGGATTTAGTGTTACAGGCAAACGCATGCGTTATTTAGCTTGATTTTACAACTTTTTTTTCCATCCTGAGGGTGTCTTGCATCTCCATTCATCTCAGGAATGGCAAGGTACCATGGTATTGTGAAGTCGTTTCACCGCACAGGCCACGTGACTCTGTAGACTTTCATCCGGGCATTCCACTTCCTTTGAAAGAGAAAATACGATAACAGTAATCAGTCACTAACTCGATCGGTCGCTGGTGTGACTTCGTTAAACTTTGTAATACAGTTCAAAGTATACACAACAACATGACAACAGACGAACGACATCTCACCAGTGTTTCAAGATCGATGACAGCTGTCTGTCCGTCCAGCTTGACGGAGATTTGATCTCCTTTTGTGGTTCTTGTCACAGCATCTTCGCCGTAAGTGCCGTTTAAAAGCTTCATCAGTCTGTCAGATGAAAGGAAAGCCGGTGGCGAGTAATTAAAAAAAAATTGCTTTGATCACTCTGTGATCTGAACAGTATGTATGGTGCTTGTTAGCAAAGAGAGAAAATTAAGGCGTTTGGGGGACTTATCGATTCCGACGAATTAACTTTGACATCAAAACGTAAGCTGAGACCTCTTTCCCAGATTCTCACGTCTCGACCAGGAACCCCACCCCCTTCTCGCTCTCTCTTCTTCATTGTTTGTTCGTCTCACACATGGACTGAGTGTACGGCCCACCAAGCCACGAAATGAACAGTAAACTGAGGATCCTCGGTTCGAGTCCTCATTGGGGCCCAACTCTCTTTAAAATTGGCTCGGCGGAGGGAAACGTTCTTACGATAAGTTCAATGACGTAAGGTCACCAAAAGAGACAGGTCACTTCAAGGTCTTGTTGTCCCTTGGTGTGGATTATGCAAGAGACTCAGCCCTACCAACTTATGTTACAGTTGTTATCGGTAGTGGTCAGGGCGAAGAAAGCAATACTTCTAGAGGCTGAAGGGATGGGGAAATCGACCGTGACTCAATCACTGACATAGCGACGTTCAGGTATCCTCACTTTTTGCAATTGACACAGAGTCGTTTCAGTCAACAAATGTTATTCACTAGAACCTCCATTCAGGGGACAATATTAAGAATAAATACACCATTCCTTGAATGGAAATTGTTCTTCAATGCAGGCAACAGAAAGAGATGAAATGAGCTCTTTTTCAGTAGTAAGAAAAAATCGCCTCGTGGATGGAGGTGTCCCCTGAATACGGGTGTACCATTCAAAATATAGGACCGAGAGAGAAACAAAAACAAATACAGTATACCTTTCTGGAAACTGGCTTATGTCTGGCTTCTTAGCACGAGCAGCTATCGAAACAAAAAGTAAAAGGGAAGTTAGTTGATGGTCAATGGGAAATTCGTTACACAATTCACAGCTAATGACGTTAACCACATAAAATCAGTATAAATAAACTAGCGCTCTAATACAAATGGTGCTATCGCATTGGTTACGCTACTCACTACCAGCATTGCGATAGATAATGTGTAAGGTGAATACATGTAGCCCCAACATTGTGTGTTTTTAAACAAATTGAAATAAAAATATGAGCTTCTACCTGTTGTTAAGTTTTCAAACGAAAAGTAGATTTACTCCAAAACAATTAGATTTTACACGCTCGATTTCGAGGCGAAATACATGATCCAGGCTTCACTCTCATCAATTATCACGTGAAATCTCGAGTTCACAACCAAATTGTCTAATAGGAAAGAGGGCCTCAGCAACAGAGGTCAAAGTAAGCACTTCTCACAAAGTGATTAACAAATTGGACTCCCGCTTCGCGGTCGTCCGATTTTGTTGATCACCCGTATGATGACGGACCCGTATGATGACGGACCCGTATGATTACGGACCCGTATAATTACGGACCCGTATGATTACGGACCCGTATGATTACGGACCCGTATGATTACGGACCGAATTGGACTGCACTCGGTCCCATTACCATTAGAAATCAAATTAGTCACCTTGAAAAGCTGTGGGATTAGACTCAACCTGTAAAATTACAGCCAGGACAGCATCGGCGTACATGTCGTTCACAGGGTTTGCCATCCACTAAAATGAAACAAGATTGTCATGAATCAACTAACCTGTTACATCTATGGTAACCACAAGGAAAACGAAAACAATATGTCGGAGAGCTTTGCAAAGAAAAATGTTGCTCAACTTTCGCTTGAAGGAACACGAGAAACAAAAACAAGGACTCCCGCTCAAGTGAACGCAAAGGGTCGCAAAGAACTAATCTGTACCTCTACAACAACACTTCGTTTCTCCTGAACGACTGTGACAGTTTTAAACACTTTGAGCGCGAGTTTGCCTCCCTGTAATGTGAGTTGTTCCACCTCACCAGCCAAGTTCTCCATGCACTGCAGAAGCAGAGAAAAGGCACCGTGGAATGCGACAGTTTGTTTCTGGAGAAGAAAAGAAAATACAAAAAAAAGGTCAGGGCAAAAGAGACAAACTTAAAATCTCTTTGAAAAGAACGTACGCAGCGTCTTACAAGTCCACTTGGCTTCGCAAATGGATCATTTCTACCATTGCAGTGCTCTTCTACCCAACTATTTCGTCGTTTTTCATAAGCAGTCAGTAATATTCTAAGCACAATTCTTTCGAAAATTAAGAAGTACTGTTTTGATATTTCGATGATCCAGTTCTGTAAGGACAATGCTGGGTGATGATAAGTTTCATACCTGAGTCAGAACGCTCGTTGAGAGCTCTGTGTAATCTGTGGAAAATTGTACAATTGAAATCAATAATTAGCAAAGGGAGACATGTTACGTGCATAGTAACCAATATTATCAAATTTAATAATGTTTTCTTAGATTAATCAAGGCTCGAAAAAAAAAACCTCATCTGGTCGTCCAAGGCGTGCATTATGGGTAAAATGCTACGGAAAAGTTAGTTTTTTTTTCTGGATTGGGTAGCCACATGTAAGAGGATAACAATACAGATACAGTTTTAATGTTAATGAAATTCTGCTTAAGTTCTTAGGGACTAAAAACGAGTGCAAACATTTTTCTACAATATGTATGTAGCTCTTTTCAGTTTACGTTTCACTCAAATTTGCGCTTGAAGGTCCTTGACACAGCTTGTAGGGTTACGTCATTGTAGAAGCAGTCATCATGATGACAGTAGATCAGCTCTTCTGAACTTAACGGATAGAAATTACTTACAATGCAATGCAAAGCAAAGCGATTCATCTCAATTCGTTCAAAGTGCTCATCATTCGAAAAAAGTTTCAAACGTTTTGGAAATTCTCGTGTTTTCTTTGAATTGATCCTTTCACAAAATAACTGCGACAGACACACCAAGCAAGCTTAATGTTCCATGAAATATTAAGAAATCATGTTTTTTTATTTAATTTTATCCATTAAAAAGTTAGGTGCTAATGGAGTGCGACATGAAAAAACCATTTTGCACTCCATAACCCGTTTATGCATTCGTCTTCATGAAGTTGGATAGAGGTCTTTAGTTGAGTACATAATGATATAATTGGACACAGTATCATACTGATCTTACTTTGGAGATCATCTGGTGCAATCAAGTGATAATTAAACCCTCGCTTGATAAGGATTCCCGACAATGGTTTTCCATGTTCGGGCTTTTCGGCGGCCAGACTTCCCATCACCTGAAAAAACCGCATGCAACTTTCTAGGTAATCAACAATATGTACAATCAAGACACAGGATAATACGCCATCTTTGATACATCAAAATTCAAACTTGGCTCTGATGCTTGGGGGAATAAAACAAAATAAATCACATCGAGGTTGAGGGATGGATACCTAGTTTCTTTTGTTTTTCATTCCCCCACGCCTCGGGGCCGCCTTGGAATTTTAATATATTGAAAGTGGGCTTTTGCTGATGGGGAATTACGATTCTCACTAAGAAGTCGGTGGGCTGGGAATTACCTTGCTTTTCTTATCCATCTTTTGAACTCGCATGAAATAAGGGACATAGCGAGTAAATCAAACGCCGCACCTCAGAGGTGGATGGAAAGCCACATGTCGAGCGAGAGGTTTAATCATGCATCGGACATATTAATAGGACCACTTCAATGGCAGACAAAACTATAGAGAAAACTTAGCTTTATAAAACCTTGTTTTCAACCCTGGCTTATTTATCCTATTTTTCGGGTCCCATTTGCCTCTTTAAATGTTGTTTAACGAATTATATCTCCTCAGATTTCATCATGCATGTTGGTAAACTTGGCTAAAAAAGATTCGACAACATCGAAAAGGGTGAGAAAGAGGAGTGTTTATTTTTGGGAAGTAAAGCTATCACATGTCTCAACAAGTTTCGTCTGGATACCTTGATGTTGCAGCTCTCTCGATAGTTTACTAGCTGCACAAAAACAATGAAGTAGTTCTACTGATCTGATAGCCTAGGAAGAAAATTGGTACTGAAAGAAGCTTAAACCAAACTTTATAACGAGCATCTCTGTAATTTCCACCACTCAGTCGCATTCCTAGGAGATATTCACGTTGGCTTATTCATACATTAACACCATATAATAATTCATGCTTACCTTGGCCATTTTCTCCCCCCGGAAATAGAGCTCTACACTTTGAGTGTTAGGGGGGTTGTGAACCACCACACTTGCATCCTGTAGAAGATATAACAATCATGAATGGTCTGAGCACTTTAATAATAAATTAAGACAGTCCTTAAAAAACTTTGCCTGTGTTTAACTTACTGGATTATCCTCATATTCTCGAATCAAAGCAGCTTTTAGTCGACCCATTTCGTTCTGTTCACCGTGAACCAGCACCTGAGGAAAAAAAAGATAAACGTTTTTGAAAAAAACAAGGACTTTTTCGCTGGTCTAGATTTAGAGAAAAATAATTCCCTTTAAAATTTTTTTTCCCGTCAGGAACTGAGTCAAAATATTCGTTAAAAATTAAAATTTTAAGCACGTGCTTTCCGGACCACTTAAATACCTTCGGTGCCCATCCCTTGAGGGCGTTGTTTCTTAGCTTTTAACATTCGAGAAGGACCTTTACTAAAATAGCAGAGGGTCTACTGAAAACTGAGGTTGAAGTATTATAACCTGTCTAAATTCCGTGGGACTCTCTAAATTTCACTTACTATGTGAGGAGGCTTTAGGATTCGAATGAATTCACTTGTCTGCTCGAAATCCGTGTGAGCGGAGAATGAAATGTAGTCTGCAAACAGAAACAAATGACAGAACGACTTTTTTTATTATTATTCTTACATTCAGTCATAATGTAGAACTCACTCAAAGGGATTGTATTCTTTATAATAAAACATTTTTGAAAATGGAGTATACTGAAAGTACCTTGAAAACAATTTTAAATCAATAAGAACAAATATCTCGAGCAACTATATCGCGCCTCAAACAACTCCTATTATGCTTCATCCATTACTCGATACGCACGCTAAACATAAACCAGTTCTTGAGAGCGCTTATAATTGAGTGATGTGGCGCCAATCTCATAGAAATAAAGGCAAACAATTAATTCATGTGTTCACATCACAAGGTGCCAATCGGAACTTTAAAGCTGATGCATAGCGCTAAACGCAAGTCTTAGATATGATTGGTTGATCGCGCTGAGCACCGCCAATTATATGTACATCTCGGATTTCTTTCGAAAAGCTACTGAAAGTTTCTTTATCATCACGATTCCCTTTATTCACGACGGAGGGTAGCCAGAATATCATGGAAAAAATCGAAAAAAGTTTCGTATCCATTGAAAAACAGTCTGATACTCAAGGCTCCTTCAACTCGAACTTTTCTTTAAATATATAGCTTCATGCAAACATGTTCCACATTAAAAACAATCTGAGAATGAGGAAAAACAGCGCTCACCAACAGAACATTTGCGTGGAATCTTCTGTCCCGTCATGGTTGCTATTTCTTCAGGTTCTGACATCAAAGTCTGTAACAAGTTACAAATACATTAGGAACAAACTAATGAGAGAGCTCTCAAAAGACGGTAAAGACCTAATGAGTTTTATGAGTGTATCTAGCAATCATTCGCCGAAGAAGAAGGGAATATTGTTGAATAATCCCCAAGACGAAGTATAATTGCTCAGGTGCTTCCGAATATTTTTGCAAATTCGTTTTGTTGTTAAAACCATTCTGTTACAATTGCTCGTATCGAGATAAGCAGCCAGTTTCCACTAGAAGTTAACAAGTTTTCATATCAATTCAATCAGTAAAAGCTTCATTTTTTATTTTGAAAAGTGTTTCGCAAAACTTAATAGCATCTTTTGCGCTCTCCAGAATTGTTTGTTCTTCTATCGCGTTTATCACTTCCTACGTAGCATTGACAAAAACCGAAGTAACCATTTTGAAAGTTAGTGCCCCTGCCATAATCGAGTGTTAGATAATTGGCTACAGTTGTAAGGAACACCAAAAGGGCAGCTTCTGTACTGTACGTTGCATTTCTTTTCTCCTCCATACCTTCGCTAATGTCCCCTCGACACAGTAGCCAGCTATGATCACACCATTTCGACGATCGGTACACCACTGCTCAAAGAGTTCACGTGACAATCCGCTCTGTGTGTAAAGAAAATCAGTTTATAACCAAGCTCATGAAGTTACTTATCGGTTTAAGTTTTTATTTTAAGGACATGTCGCACATTTTTTTGCACTGTAGATGAGTACTCCTGGATAATATTCTAGTACTTTATAAATTGTACAGCTCCATTTATACTATATACAGCTCAATTTATACAATGTACAGCTCAATTTATGCAAAATACAGCTCAATTTATAAAAATAATGTACAGCTCAAGTTATACAGTGTACAGCTAAAAGGATAGAAATCAGCGACAACCATAAAAAAATAAATTAATATATGAAACAAAATTTGCAGATTTTTTGCCGGTAAAAACAGTCACACATCTCTGAAATCTAGATGTTTGTATTCTTCACAAACACGAACCTGCATCATTCCTGGACTTGCCATCACAACCGAAGGACCAATATCATCAAACTGATCGATACCCTAAAAAAAAAAACAAAAACATTGACAAACAAAACCAGAAATAAACAAACAAACAAACAAAAAAGGAATGATGAAACTAGGCGTTGAGTTTTATATCGTTCCGCTGTAAATACATTGTACTAACACGAACACGTGCCTCAGTGCCAGCTACAAACTCACCTTGAGGTTTGATATATGTTTGAATACAAATGGATTTGAAATGGCGATCTAAAAAGACAAAAAATAATTTTTTTTTTAGTTATCTTACGAAAAAAGTAACATCAAAAGAGCAACAGCAGGCAAAAAATGAAGAGAAATTTACTACTTTTTAATTGTACAATGGGATGTGCTGAGTACATAATTGCATTTTAGTCACTCTTTCCAAACCAAATGCCTGGAGGCGAAGCTGCAACAATTATCGTACCTGTTTCTTGATTTTCTCGTTCATTGCATTGACATAGGTCTGGAACACTGAAAATAAAAACAAATAACGCTACATAAGTGTGTAAGCCTTAATAGCCAATGTATAACCTGTTCGATTCTGGCTTGAGAGGTACTAGTCTTGGTCACTATCACTATGCAAGTGTCGAAAGACACTTCCCTATCAAAATGGCAATATGGTTTGCTTTTATCTTTTATGAAGATTGCCTAGCCCCCTCTCTTCAACGATCACTTCCTCACAACGGTAATTTTTCTTTCCCTAGCAGAAATTCCTTTTTTTTTACTATCACTTTTAACCTCTTTTGAACAGTGTCGCACAAGACCCGATAACTCGGTCGGACAGGCAATCTTTGACAACTTTCTCTCGTCGCATAAAGAGGATATAAAAAGTTTGAAAAATTAAAAGTAAGCACTCTACAACAACATAAAAGACTCGCTGTAAACTGATCATTTGAAGATGGGCCTCCTTGGTTTCTTATGCAGCGGTATATTTTCTAAATCACTGTAAGTATAGGGGAATCCTTGTTTACAATATTTGCCTCATTAGCATAAGCAATTCAGTTTCTGATGGAGCTAAAAATAAATCAGTTCTGAATATCGAAAGGTCAAAGTACGATTAACTCGGCCAATGAATACGAGCCTGATGCATTGAATACTTTTTGTGCAACACGGGTTTAAAAACTCAAAATTTTACATAGAATGTATGAGCTCATTAGCGCTTTTGCCACCCAGAAATTTTGCAGTTTTTGATGGACTATTTCTCCTTGAATATTACACCCAAAGAGCTAAAAATTTCACCATGTACTAAGGTTTTCTAGCTCTTTAGCTGCCTGAAGTCAATTTGTATCTAACATGCTTCCTTCTTTACGCAAAGCCGTATGCAAATGAGCAAAAATGTAAACAATGACGTCAGCATGAATCCGCCTATTCCATGTACCTAAATTCTCCCCTTCGAAAAGAAGTGTCATATCTATACGTCCTAACTTCTTCTAACAACCCTAGTTTCACTAACCCCTGAGAGTAACTGGCTTTTAATTTCTCCTTACGGTATCTGCCTTTGATCAAAATAATGTAAAGGTCACGAGAAGAAAGCAAAATGATGACTAATTTAAGAAGCCCCGGAATTATCAAACAGATTCTCCTTGTCATTCTACGTTAAAAAATAGTGTCGATACAACAGAAACAATTACAAACTTGACAGTGTGCTCTCACCTGACATGCATTTCTTGGCCAGGTGTGAAGCATAGTAGATTGGAACATCGTGAAGCTCAGGATGATTCTGCCAATACTCATCTAGAAAAAAATCATTAAAAAAAATACATTTATCCAGTTATTACTAAATAAAAAACAATCAGTGCAGTTCGAGTGGCGTTAGAAATGACATGGTCGGGGGTGTTGACATCTGATTAGGAAGCACGAGTGTAAATTCCCTGATTGCAAGACGATTCGGTTCAAGAGACAATTTAGTGCATCAACAGAGATGACAATGTAAATTGGACACCGTAAAGAGCTCTTATGGCAGACGCTTCGAGCGTTAGCCCATCGTCAGAACGAATAACAAAGGGCTAACACTCGAAACGTCAGCACTGAACACTCTCTATGGTGGCCACCTTACGTTATCAACTATTTTGAAACACTTAATTATCTTGTTATACCCCACCAATGCAACACAGCAGTTTCTTTAGAAACTTAACCCCCTTACTCAGTTCATAATATCAGTCATGCGAAAAAACTTAACAAGCTTTAATAACTCAAAATAATAGAGAATTTCAGTCGGTCAGCTTGCCTCTGCTTTGCAAAGCCAAAGTTCATCCGCCAAGCACAAAAACCGTGAACGCCACAAGAAAGAAAAAGCTAACGGATTTAAAACATTGAAAAACGATCCTCATCTCTTTCTAAGTTTTATTCGCCTATCAAAAGACAATGAAGCTATCAGACAAAAGAAACAAAGGCAGATCCACACAAAATCTCTCCCGACCCTCCCTTCAAGAAAGAAAAACCGAAACTAACATACCAAGAATCAGAAGCAACTCTTGAGCTCGTCCCAAAGCAAACACAGGAATCAAGCATCTTCCTCCGCGATTAACGATATCATGGACAGTACCTGAATAGATTCAAAATGATTGGAATCAGTACCTCCTCGCTGCAGATTACATAGGCATAAATGAATAGTTAAATACAGTACTTGTGTTTTGGAATGCGATTTCAGAATTTTCGTGAAAGTGCATTGCCACTGCTTTCATGTCTGTAGTATCTCGGCTAGGAATGTTTTAGAGATGAAAAGTCATGCACAGTGTAATAATGAAGAATGTTAAGGCACTAATGTAAGCAGAACTCGTTGGATTATCTCTCAACTAATGATAAGCCTTAAACAGACTACCAACTGGGTGAGAAGTGCAGTAGGAAATACATGTCTGCGTAGATCTCAGTATACAGAGGAATAAATTAATTACAAGAACACCTTGTCTTCGCTTTTCTGAGAGTCCCTGTGCTCTCTTTGAGGGAAACTTCTTCTACAATTTGGGTAAATAAAATGGATAACAGTGTAATAAGGTATATTTGTTATTCGTCTCAATTTTAAGAACATACTTGTAAATCTGTTCTCTCTGTCTTCTCGCTTCTCATGAATGTGAGTACCATAAGTAGATTCCTACAGGTGTTATTACAAAACAATAATTCGTCAACAAGGTAAACATTTAAATTTAAACGTTTCAAAAAATACTTTAAGCCATAGCTGTAATACAAAGAGTATGAATTTCTGCACAATTTAATCAAAGAAACCTTGTGATTTAACCGTTTACAAACCAACATCAGTGGGCAAGTTCTCCGTACTGTTCTCTAAACATTTTCCCTAGAACTTACACGGATAATTTTTTAACAGTCAAGAGCGTCTTGAGTTCACGATAATTTTCTTCATTGTCGTGACCTTAATGTTTGTTTCAGGGATTATACTGTTTGGAGAAGTTAGATGCCTATAAAAGGGTCAAAGTACCAAGTAGGCAGCATTTCAAAATACAGTTATCTTATTAGACGTTTCGGTGCGTAATGTCTATGGGAAATTTTACAAATAATTTGTAAAATTTCCCATAGACATGCTGTATTTTGACAAGCTCCTAGGGCTAGTCAAAACATAAACAACGAGTGAGAACACTCAGCAATACTACATACCAAAACGTTTAATAAGTTATTTATCATCAAACTGCTGGCTTTATCTAACATGCATTTCTTATAAAGCGGGAAAGCGAAGCAGATAGGGAAGCGTAGCACACAACAGGTTAAACAGTTTATTCTTTAATTATGAGATAACCAACTGTACAAAACGGCGTGATATTTGTACTCTCCTAAGCGCAGTGGGACCTGGGGAGAGCAAATTCAGTGACTGATACGTTTAAATGGTTGCCTTGGTAACTCACAATTATGAGGACGTCAGGAGAAATGCTGGGGATCTCGGCTGCCATGAGATGACGATCTTCTTGTCGAGAAAAATCTCCTGTATAAAGAATCTGGAAAACAGCAACNGTTATTGGGATTCGACTGTATTTATATCCATCACACGGCTGATACAAGGAAAATCTAACTCTATGCAAGATCAAACTGTTACTTCATATTCTGAGTTCGCCATAAACGGTGAACCCCTCAACCTAAATTGTCCAGTATCTAATTTCTCCTTACAGTGTCGCTTAAGAGAAAAGTAAGGAGTGAATAGACCGAGAGAATAGTAAAGTAAAAAATGCTTTCTAATATCAAAGTGTAAAGGGTTAATTAAGATGTCTCGCGTGTTACCATATTTGATGTTCTTTCGCAACGGTTCTTCACTGAAAAAATAAGAGCGAACCGTGATCTGTTCTCCAAAGCTAAATTTTCCATATCCTTAGGTGCAAGTAAAATGAAAGACTTACTAAGTGCGAATGCCCGTCAATACAGACACTCTATGCAGTTTTCAGACATACATATGAAATAATATAGAAATGACTCATCTTTATAATCAAGAGAGGATCAATGAAGTGACTAAATAAGGAACGGCATTTTCTACAAATCACAACAAAAGTTTTCCGCTAGAAGTTTACATCCTACCAATTTGTGACACAGAGCATCGTACAAAACTGTGTAAGTGGCACCCTCGCCTTTGTTTAGTTTCCAATCTTTTAACATACTGTGAGCCTTCTTTTGCAGCCTCCTATTGTCGTGACAAAAGCAAGTTATTGCGGCGTCGTCGAATCCTAGGCGTCTCCCCAATGACTCCCATTTTACTCCAATTTTCTGAGACAGCTCCTCTAACTCTTCGTCTGTTGGTTTTCCAGCCTTAACCTTAGCTGAGGTTAATAATGGGAAAGGAAAAAGTTAAAAAGGAAGCTTTAACGATCTAGCAATAAGGTGAACAAATGTAGGGAAAGGTGATTTATGTTTTTGGTATGATGCGATATCGAATGGTTGGCCTTACGGAATGTCAGGCTTAGGCGAGGAGACGTTTGCAGTAGAGGGTAAATGACTTTTCCCAAAAGAAGCTACTTAGAAAGCTTTCCAAACTCATTAGGATCTGATCATTGGCGTACAACCCGACAACCATCTTCAACAAGAAAAGTCACAAATTACGTTTTCTAGCAAACAATCTCTCGTCTCATGTTACCATGATTAGTTTTTTTTTTCTGAAATGCGATGCTATTGCAACGAAATGACTAAGGGAGGAAAATTGATCAGTGCCTCTACAGAGTCCTAAATGAAATATTTTGTTCTCGATATTGTCTTGTTCATAGCCTTTAAAATAATACGATAGTTGTATTTGTCCTGCTGCTGCACGGCTTTGCTACTAAAGACAGATTGTGTATCTTTAAGTCCTCAACCCTTTTTATGCAGCTCAACCTTTACCCTCTTATCACTGTGCTGAACGCCGAGCGTCTGTTCTGCTCACTTTTCAGATCTAAGCTCGAGTATAGAGAAGCACTTGGTCTGTTCCTCACCTCCATGCAGCATAGGTAATAATCTGGGTTTATTAAGCACTTTAAGCTCCCTTCAGAGAGTATTCAAGAGTACATGCGTTCACTTTGGAAAGAATAATTACCTCTGGTGTCCTCTGCTCCCGAATGAGTGGGCGACAACCGTCTCTTTAGATCTAAGAACATGAAAAGAAAGTTATATCATGCCCTTACAGTAAAAAGTCTTTCAAAATCTTCGCGAGACTTAATAGACTTAGCACAAAATGTTTTGCCGCACTCTATTTATGCTCATCTGGCTGTTCTAGATTGCAGAATTACTAACGCCAAAAGGTGCCCAAAGTTTACCTTTTGATATTATCTAAGTTATTGTTGTTTTAAGGATTGATAGACTACTGGATGAATGTTTCTTTCTGATTATTGGGAAATATTTTTGTTATCCGTCATCCTCATGGTACCATTGTCATGATAGGTGGAGATAGGGGAACGGCGCACAAGAAATTAAAACACAATTTTAGCCCTCAGAATCGAACTGGTTTCTCAGTCTCAGAACAAAAATACTACTAGTTCATAGACATATGTTTAATGCATATATCTGGACAATCAACTGTTTAAAAATTAACTAATATAAACGCAGCGCAGCATCGCGTTTTGCAGATCTTGCGGAATCAGTCGATCATACATCATAAATATAGTCACTTACTGCGATAGTGAGGCCAGTCCTTAAACAAATGTCCTCGACATAAAAAGTGTGCAACAAGCGAGGCTGCCATTACAGTGGCAAATAGTCTCCAAGAGTCAGTGCCAGATTTGTTACCATCAGCGTAGTCTGACACTCCTTTGATGACTATCCATTCGATGCCAAGGTTACGGGCGGCGGGAAATAGACCTACCGGCCGATTTTCCGTATTTTGACTGGGCATAGAAAATTGAAGATTTGAGCAAATAAAAAAAATTTTTGCGCAGAAATACTCAAAAAAATAAGCTTACTTCGTTAAGCGAAAAAAATTTTTTTGGGTGTAGGTGCACTTTAATGTTTGTTTCAGGGATTATACTGTTTGGAGAAGTTAGATGCCTATAAAAGGGTCAAAGTAACAAGTGGGCAGCATTTCAAAATACAGTTATCTTATTAGACGTTTCGGTGCGTAATGTCTATGGGAAATTTTACAAATAATTTGTAAAATTTCCCATAGACATGCTGTATTTTGACAAGCTCCTAGGGCTAGTCAAAACATAAACAACGAGTGAAAACACTCAGCAATACTACATACCAAATCGTTTAATAAGTTATTTATCATCAAACTGCTGGCTTTATCTAACATGCATTTCTTATAAAGCGAGAAAAGCGAAGCAGATAGGGAAGCGTAGCACACAACAGGTTAAACAGTTTATTCTTTAATTATGAGATAACCAACTGTACAAAACGGCGTGATATTTGTACTCTCCTAAGTGCAGTGGGACCCGGGGAGAGCAAATTCAGTGACTGATACGTTTAAATGGTTGCCTTGGTAACTCACAATTATGAGGACGTCGGGAGAAATGCTGGGGATCTCGGCTGCCATGAGATGACGATCTTCTTGTCGAGAAAAATCTCCTGTATAAAGAATCTGGAAAACAGCAACAAAGACATGATCAAAACATACGAAACGATACACACAGTACATTGGATATGGGGTATACAGTCGTACACTCTCAACTAGACTGTATAAAATAAAAGCACTGAAATAGCTCATTCTGGAAATTTCAGTACAGGTTACTGATGACAGTGTATTTGAGCCTTTGTGAACGGGCACCCTTACACAAAGGCCAGCTACCCACAGACACATTTTTTGCATTTTTTGGAATACACAAAGGAAAGCCACCTTGCGGCAACAGTTACAATCATGAACACATGTTTCCAACTTGAATTTTAGACACTGTGAAGATTAGGCTTGAGCACACAAAGAAATGTTTCTCTTGACAGACATTGATTTATACTGTTTGTTATAATACTGTTTTTTTGTTTCTGTTTTATTTTGTTTCAATCTACATACCTTAAAATTTACCTAGGAACTCAATAAAATTGTAGATATGCATAAACATAAAGACTGGTGCTTTGAGGACAATAAACTTTTTAAAGAATTTCCAAACCTTTACACCAGCAATTTCTATCATGAACATGGCTGCCCCTAGAACATGACCGGCATGGTAACACCAAAACTTAATCCCATTTACTTCTTTCTCCTAATAGAAGAGAAATGAAAAAAAAAAAAAAAAAAAGAATTAATGAATACCACTTGGAATATGATAAGCTAAAAATCAGACATGTTGAGAAAACTGAATTCTCTAAAAGATGATGGAAAAACTTCAATAAAAGTAGTTTGGACAAAAGCATTAAAGATTATCACATGCAGGGTCAGGCTAATCAATTCCTGAATTGTATTAATTGCAATCTTTCCACTACTATACTGCTAGTCTTTGTCAGGCAGTCAGGTAGAAAGTATGTGTCACTATTTAAAGGGCCTTGGTCTGCTGTTAATAGTGTGTCTTGCCACCCTGTCATTGTTGTATTTCATAAATTTGTATAACTAACCTGATGAAAATGAATCGTTTCAATTTTGTCCATGCTCTTTTCCAGATCTGACTCCGTGTACAGCATGTCTTCTGTTGCAATGTTACTGAAAAATGAACAGTAATGAAAGTAACAAGTGACAAATTGATCTTGTCAGTTTCACTGCAATTACAGTCATTGCACTGCAAAGAGTCTGAAGATCTTTCGGCTTCAACATGGTTTGAACCACTTCACTCAGACAGTAGATAGGCACTACTCTTGACTGTAGGTTATGAAGTCATTAGTTGGATGCCAGCAAATAACTGTTGTTATACTTAAAGGACAGGTTGTATTATATTAGGCCAGTGGTATCACCTTAAGGATATGTGTATCTAGGAGCTTTGAGAAGGGTGAGCGAGCAAGCGAGTGAGAAGGTGAGTCAGACTGTAATTTGTGTGTTTGCATTAAAGCTTTGTTTTTAAGCTTTTGCCGCATGCCTTTGTGGCTAATGACTCTATATTAAATTGATGATGAGGTTGCAGAATGTTGGGTGCATTACATTCATGGGAAGTGAGTTACAAATACAGCTCACAAAATAGCTTTGCTATTTCATTTGGCCGAAATGAAAGTCCAAGATATTTGTGAAGATTTTCCTGAACTGGGACTCATCTTGAGGATGATGCATTCATAATGCTGTCTTCAAATGATAGCTGCTCACTTTCCAGGGGCAGATCCAGGATTTTTCAAAGTAGGGGGGGGGGTGCACCACTAAGGAATGATGCAAATGATAGGCGACGCAAACATATTTTTACACCAAACAACAAAGAAAGCTTATGAGTGGGCAATAAGAGAGTGTGAACTGCTGAGAATACAAAGGAAACAGTAAAGCAGATTTGCTATAAT